CCGGCTCGCACACAGCCCCCACGGCCGGGCTCTCCCCAGCCCGCGGGGCTCACACGCACGCCCCCGGCTCGGCTGGCTGCTGGGAGCTGCCAGACAGCGGCCGGCAGTCCCTGCTCTGTGCGCACACGGTGTGTGAGCACGCGTGCATGCACACCTGCAGTGCGCGGCGGGCCCTGCACAGCCGCACAGCTGCTCCAGCCCCGGCTGCGAGCGCCGGCTGCCCGCGGGTCCCCCTCCAGCGGGGATGCCCGGCCGCAGCTGCAGCGCTCTGCTGCGTCCTGGCAGCCTCCCGGGAGAAGCAGCAAGCAGGACGAGGGGCTGGGGCAGCCTCCAGCCTGACAGGGTCCCCACGCGGCCCCGGGGCATCCTCCATCCCACATGCACCGGCCGGGACACCCTGCCTGAGCCAAGGGCCTCCCATGGGCCACGCTGGGCTGCCCCTCTACCCCTCTGGCCCACCGTGAGTTCAAGACGCTACTGCCAGGACCCCCTGGTTGGGGTGAGCCAGTCCCATGCTGCCCCACAGCATCCCCTGCGCCCTGCAGAGTGCTGTGGGGCACCTGCACCCAGGGCACTGGGTACCCCACCACATATACCTGTCTTATTGCTCTCATCACTCCTGCACAACAGCAGAGTCAGTTCTGAGAACAACGCGGTATCCCCACAGTCCACCTGGCCCCTGAGATGCCAGCACTGGCCTGCACCCCGCACTGCCCACACCCCGCACTGCCCCTACCCTGCACTGCCCGCACCCCACACTGCCCACACCCCGCACTGCCTGCCTGGGGAGCTGCAGGATACACGGGGTGCTGATGGGGCCCTCACTCCTGACACAGGGCAAGAAGGAGCCAGCAGGAACTCCAGCCAGCGAGCGCCCTTGGGGGACAGCGAGGTGGTGGGCTCGGAGCACAGGCATGTCAGCTCCCTGGAGGGCAGGAATGGAGGGTGCAGGCTCAGGGATGGCTGCCTCCTTCCCAGCCAGTCCTGACTCCCTGAGCCCAAGCAGCACTGGTCTCCTCAGCCCCATGGTACCCTTGGTCCTGTGGCACCCTTGCTGCCCTTGCCCTGGTGCTCCTTGGGGTCAGAGGAGACGCCAGCCCCCTAAGCTGCCCCAGGCTCAGTTGGAGCAGGCACTAGGGCCCAAGGGATGACCCAAAAGCCCATGGGACCCCGACCCTCCCTGCACCCCAAGACCAGGGGCTGCCTGGGTACCAGCAGGTTCTCAGACGCTGTGGCCACATGTCTGGGACACACAGCACGTATGAACCCCGCAGGTGTGCAGGGCACATCACACACGTGGGGCACGCTGCACACACGCATGGCTGAGTCCCGAGCGGGCACCGACATGCCTCCCCGTGAGCAGCCTGCGACGCCCGTCCCGAGCACCGTGTGCGCAGCTCCGCACCCTCGGCCTGCTGTGCGCACACCTGGCACATGTAAACACACGCAGAGAGGTCACGGGGTGCTCACGCCCTGCGCGGCAAACACTCGCCCGGGAACCGGCTGTGGGAACAGCCCTGGTGCGCCGGCAGCCCGCACACACAGACACAGACAGACAGACAGACACACACACACAGACACACACAGACACACACAGACACACAGACAGACACACACACACAGACACACACAGACACACACAGACAGACACACAGACACACACACAGACACACACACACAGACACACACACACAGACACACACACACACACAGACAGACACACACACACACACTTACAAGCACACTTGCACATGCACACACACAGGCACACCCACCGGCTCGGAATCACAGAGGCACACCCAGGTGCACACACACAGCCACACAGCGATGTGCATGCATTGTCACTCACACAATCACACGGCAATGCACACACATGGTCACTCACACCTTGTCACTCACATACACAATCACACAGTGATGCACACACACTGTCAGTGACACACACAGCCACACAGCTATGCACACACATGGTCACTCACACTGTCACTCACATACAGAATCACACAGTGATGCACACACACTGTCACACACAGCGATGCACACACTGTCACACAATCACACAGCAATGCACACACATTGTCACTCACACAGTGATGCACACACACGGTCACACACATTGTCACTCACACACTGTCACTCACAAATATTGTCACACAGTGATGCACACACACAGTTGCTCACACATGGTCACTCACACACACAGGCACACACACACGCACTCTCACAGGCACACACACTCTCACGGGCACACAGGCACTCTCACAGTCACACACACACTCTCACGGGCACACACGCACGCTCCCACGTTCCCGTGCACTCCCACCCCCCGGCTCACGTCCCTCGGGGTGCCCCGTGCGCGGGCACGCCGCCCCGAGCACGCGCGGCTCGCACGCGCATCCCGCGCCCGGTGCCCCCGCTGCTCACCCGCTCGGCGGCTCCGCGGCGCGGCGGGAGCCGCAGGCTGCGGGGGCGGCTCCGGGTGTCCCCCCCGGCGGTGCGGGGCGGTGCGGGGGCGGCTCCGGGGGGCTCCGCCCGCAGCACAACAAAGGCCCGGCCCGCCCCTCCCCGCCCCGGCCCGGCCCCGCCGCCGCGCCGGGGCCCCGGGGGAGCGAGGGCCGGGGGCGGCTGCTGCGGGCCGGGGGCGGCTGCTGCGGGCCGGGGAGTCATCCCCGCTTCTGGGGCGGGAACGGCAGGGGCCTGTCTCTGCCCCCCGCGGTTTCTGGGATGGCACCGGCCCTAAAGGGGTCCTGCTGGTGTGCCCAGAACTGTTCCAGCCCCAGCACACTGAGGGGCTTCCAGCACCATGGGGCTGCTGGGGAGCCTGGTTTGGGGGGCAGCACCCACTGGGGCCCTTCTTGGGGGTCCCTGGTAGCAGGAGTGGCTATGGAGATACCTAATTCCTGTGCACACGGCCTCAGGCATCACGATGAGATGCTGCGGTGGTAGCAAGCTCACGGAGTTTGGGGTAACTTGTGGGTCTCGGCACCTCACGGCAACGTGTGGCTCTGTGGGGTTCAGGGATACGCGGCCGTGGGTGTCCCCTCAGCGGCACACTCGGAGCTGGTGGCTGGCAGCTGGGTGTGAGCAGCACCCAGAGCTCTGGTATCATGGGCACTGAAACGCTGCCAGTGCCGGGCAGGAGTCCCCAGAGGGGTCCCAGCAGGGTCACGCTGGTAGCCCCAGGAGGTCGCATGGTTGCCCAAGACGGGACACAGCCCCCAGTCCAGCCTGTGGGCCAGCAGCTCTGGGCGGTGCTGGGGGCTCTTGTGGGCAGCATGAGGAAACAAGGCCCCTGTCACCCCTCGGTGTCCCCTCCACGGGCAGACACGGGGCACCTGCGGGCATCGGGGAATGCACGGAGCCCCAAATCGTGTCCGTCTTATACTCTGGCTGGGTCACAAACCTGTGGGACCCGTCACCCCCTGAGGTGCCAGCCCCACAGCGAGCCCTTCCAGCACTCGTGTCCCCAGGGCGGCCACGCCGGGGACCCGGGCGCGGCACAGCGGGGAGGGTGCTGGGCTGCGGCCGGGATGAACGGGCGGTGCCTTTGGGGCCTTCCCTGGGCTGGTGCCACACGGCCGCTGTCGCCTTTGCTCGCGGGGGGACTGCCCGGCGCTGGCCCGACCTCGTCCTGCCGGCGCTGCGGTCACTGGGCGGCTCCAGGGCCGGGGGGGCAGCTGGGGCGGCCAGGCAGCCCCGAGCAGGGCTGGCGCGGGGCCGCGGCTGCTGGCAGCAGGCTGGCAGCACGGGCTGGGCGGTGGGAGCAGGGACACCGCAGCGCTGCTGGCTCCCCCGCTCCTGCTCTGGTTAATGTTAAAGCCAGCAGACGTCAAGGACTGCCGCAGCTCCCCCAGCCCCTCCGCCGGGGGCTGCCAGCTCCAGGGCTGTTTTTCCTCCTGGAGCAGGCTCTGCCCGTTCCATGTGGCTAAAAAAAGCCATCGGCTTGGCTGGGACAGCAGGACAACAAATTCCCAGCCCGAGCAGCCTCCTGGCAACCCTGGTACACTCCATGCACCTTCTTGGGGTGCCCCTGGTGTGCATCCACCCCCGTCATCATCGTTATTGTCATTGTCATCGTCGTTGTTGTCATCGTCGTCCTCCTCCTCCTCCTCCTCCCCACGCGGGGCCAGGCGAGGTGAAGGTCCCTGGTGGAGCAGTGGCAGTTGCCCTTGTCCTGCTGGATCCAGCTGCCGAGTCACGCGCCGGCCCTGAGCAGGGACGCCGGCTTCCATGTAGGGTCAGGCTACGGCTGCATGCCCCCAACCCCACGGTACCCCCCCAGTTTCACGCCGAGTTTTGCACTGGGTTTGGTCCCAGTTCCATGAGGGTTTTTATAGCTGGCTTTGATCCTAAGGATGTCTGATGCCGCTTCCACGAGGAGTTTTGCAAATCGGTCTGGTCCCGGGGAGCGGGGCCATTCGCAATTCCACGAGGGATTTTAAACCCGTGTCTGATCCCCAAGTTTTGTTTCATTTCTGATCCCAGGCAGAGTTTTGCAGCTAGGTCTGGTCCAGGGGGTTTTGTTCCCTGTTCCACGAGGGGATTTACAACCGGATCAGGTCCTGGGGGAGTTTGGTCCCTGATCCCCATGGGGTTTGGCAACCGAGTCAGATTCCATAGGGGGTGGTCCAGATCCCACACAGGGTTTTACAGATAGACTTGGTCCTGGGCCAGATCGGGCCTGGTCCCCATTCCACACGGCATTTTTACAGACGGGTCTGATCCCGCGTGTGTTCGGTCCCCATTCCACCTGGGGTTTGGCCGCCTATCCGTAACCCCGACGTACCGAGCGACGCAGCATCCCCTGGGTGGGAACGGGGAGTGCTGCGGATCGCGGCCGCGCTGCGCTCTGGCACTGGGGCGGGCTGCAGCAAAGCTCCGACCCCTCCGCGGGACCCCGCGCGGGGCCCTCCCGACCCCTCGCGGGGCCCCACGAGGGGAGCCGGGCTCTGTCCCGCCCCGGGGCGGAGAGAGCCGCGCCCCGGTGTCCGCCCCGTCGCGTCCGCCCACGCCATGGCCGCCCGTTACCTCCGCGCTGCCCCGGCGCTCGGCCGCCTGCCCCGCTGCCCGCCGCCCGCCGCCGGCGCGGGGCAGCGCCGCCACTGTGAGTGGGGACCCCTCGGGGGGATGCGGGGGACACTCGGCGTCCCGGGGCCGTGCACGCCACGGGTGGGAGTGCTCCAGAGCCGCGGGGGGCGGCGGCTCGGATTCTTTTGGGGGGCGGTGTCTGAAATCGGACCGGCCGGTCCGCGGGCTTTTGCGGACCCACGCCGGGTTTTGTAGCTAGCTCTGGGCCTGGGGGGTTTGGTCCCGGTTCTATGAGGGGTTTCACGGATGACTTTGGTCCCGGGGGAATTTGGTCCCTGTTCCACGTGGCGTTTTGTGCTCCAGCTCGTACCTGTTCTGAGCCTGCTGTGGGGGGGGTTGGGGGGGTCGCTCCATCCCGGACCAATGCGGGATTTTGCCCCCCAGGAGGGTTCACTCCTGGTACCACACAGCAGAGTTTTGTTGCCAATCAATGCTTAGGTCCCACTCAGGGAGGGTCACCTCTGCTCTGGGTACCACATGTGGTTTTAGAACCTGACTCACAGACAGGTTTGGCACCCAGAGGGCTTTAGTCCTGGTCCAGGATCCACAGAGGGATTTGCACCTCGGTTTGTGCCTGAGTCTGGCCCCAGGGGACTGCACCTGCTCCTGGTTTTGGTCCCGTTCTTGATCTCACTGAGGTGTTGGAGCCTAGCTTGCATGTGGATCCCACTCTGGGAAGAATGTGTCCCTGTCCCTGTCCCCCTCACGTGCTGGGCTTTGCACTCTGACCCCCACTCCAGCAGTGGTGGCCCCAGTAACTGGCCCAGACCCCAGTGGGGCTTGCCCCTGACCTGTACCTGTGCCTGAGCCAGGGTGGCACCCACACCTGGCTGGGCAGAGCTGTGTGGTCCTGACAGGATGCCCTGGCCCCACACAAGGGTGTGGAGCTGTGGGAGCAGGGGTGCACCCCTAACACCCCCCACCTCTCCAGATGCTGACAAGCGGATCAAGGTGGCAAACCCGGTGGTGGAGATGGATGGGGACGAGATGACACGGATCATCTGGGCCTTCATTAAGGAGAAGGTGATGGGGTCCTGCCCCAGGAACGGGCGGGTGTGCCACAAGGGGAGCTGGGGGTTGAAGGGGAAACCAGAGATCCCTGTGCTGCCCTCTGTCTGTCCCTCCTGCCTCGGTCCCTCTGTCTGCAGGAAGCAGGTCGTAAAATCGGCACAAGTACCAGAAGGACTTTTAATGTGAGGCCGTTCTGGGCAGCGGGAGCTGTCTCACACAGGGAGGCCTGTTCAAGGCAGGGGGATCATTCTGGTCAACAGAACCATCTTGGGCAGGCAGCGGGCTGGGCTGGGATGGGTGCCAGGGCTGGCTATGCCGTGGTGCTGCTCCCCAGGCACCTTGCACTGTCTCCCCATTCTGACACTCTCCTGGCCCCTCAGCTCATCCTGCCCAACGTGGATGTCCAGTTAAAATACTTCGACCTGGGGCTGCCACATCGGGACAAGACGGACGACCAGGTCACCATTGACTCAGCGCTGGCCACCCAGAAGTACAGCGTGGCTGTCAAGTGTGCCACCATCACGCCTGATGAAGCCAGGGTGGAAGGTGGGCAGGGCAAGGGGCCGAGCTCCCGTCACTGTTGGGGGTGCTGGCAGCTCCGTGGGGTGCTGAGCCTCCTGTCTGTGCCCCCTGGGGTCAGCAGTGCCTTCCACTGCCAGCTCAGCTTTCCGGTGAGTTTGGGGCTGCACCATACTCAGTGCTGTGCCCCCATCCCCACCCTGCAGGCTCAGGGGTGCTGTGGGGACCCCATGGACCTGGGACTGGGGACACACTGAGCTCTGCCCTGTGCCATCCATGATCTCATGCTGGCTGTCCCTCCCCTTGCAGCAGGGTCTGGCAGCAGCCTGTGGCACAGTGGAGCTGGGTGCTGGGCAGGAGCCATGTGCTTCATGGGGCCTGTGGGGGTCGCTCAGGGGTCCCATCTGCATGCCTCACAGAGTTCAAGCTGAAAAAGATGTGGAAGAGCCCCAATGGCACCATCCGAAACATCCTGGGAGGGACGGTGTTCCGGGAGCCCATCATCTGCAAGAACATTCCTCGTCTGGTGCCCGGCTGGACCAAGCCCATCACCATTGGCCGCCATGCCCACGGTGACCAGGTGAGCCAGTGCAGGGCTGGGCGTGTGGGGCTGGCCAGCAGCTGCCCCTGCCCAGCCCCTGCCCCAGCCCCTGCCCC